CCCCCCCCCCTCCCCCGCTTCCCGTCCCCGGCAACGGCGAATCGCGGATCGATGTGCGAACGTATCTGGACGACTCGCTCGCTCGTTGCGCAAACCGGCAGATTTGCTTCTTATCGTCGGATCGAGCGGGACTAGGCGCGATATGGAGCAAAGCCAGCGTTTGGACGACTATGGAGAATCTATCGGGGCTAATATCGAGAATCTGCCGGAGCCGATCGTGAAACCCTGCGTGGATGAAGACCGCACCGGGAGGTCGCGCGAGTATTTGTCCCGCACCCAGGAAACAACGAACAGCTTCGTCAGCGAAGTATATTACTTCAAGACGTTTCTTTCCTGCGGGAAGTATTGGTACCACAACACAATCGTGGGTCCCGCAATTTGCGTGCTTCGTAAGCATAATCCCCCCCTGCGCGATCGATTATACAGAAAATCGTGCAGAGCCCGAAAGCCTCGACAGAGAAGGAATCCATAATTCCATTGGTGGTTCTGCAAGCGAGAGATCCTTTGTCACAGGTACTAGACGGTGGGAGGAGGGTTACGGAACCCCCGTCGGAAAGAGAAAATGCGCGTTTTACCATGACGTATTACCCCCCCCCCCCCTTCCATCCCCCCCCCNCCCGCCCCTGTCCTTTTCCTTTCCAATCTCAATTAGTCATTACATCTCACGGTATAGCGATGCCCTTCTCGAAACTCCCTCGACGTCCGCGCCTGGTTTCCGCATTAATTGCGTCTCGACGACGCTCTCTCTCTCTCTCCCACCTCTTCGCCCACCCTCATCCTATGTGGGACGTTTTCAAAAGGATTAGTGTCGACGCCACGAGCCGCATAGATCGGCCAAAACCCCTTCGCTTTCCAAAGAAATCGGATCGAACTGCTGATCCTGCTTCTAACTCGGTATGTACGTAATCCGAAAGCTTTTCAAGGATTGCTCAGGCAATGTTTGCCGATAATGATTACGCTGAGCCTTAACGTCGCTAGCTAAACGACAAAAGCGAGCGAAACGGTAACACAGTGTTCCGTCAACCGGCACGAATCTGCTTTCGTATCCCACAGCTATTCTCGAAAAACTGTAAGGGTCTCGAAATTCCGTACTTTAACGTCCTGATAATTCACCATGAAATTCACCGGAATACATACGCAAGCTCTTCCCAGAAACTTTAGATCACATGGGGAATAAATATCGGCAAGATTCCTCAGACGTGAATTCGCGACATATCGTCTTCCTACCCCGAAGCAAGCACCCTTAGATCGCGCACGTGTTCCTAACGCATGCGGCAGATTTCAGCGTAAGTCGCTCGAACGGATTCTAGGGTTGCACTTCGCCGACCCTTTCCGCCCACCCCCTCCCCCGTTTTCTCTCCATCCGCCTGATCTCTGCCGGATATAACCTACCCACCTACGAAACCGGAGAGGCAGTCGCTAATTACGCAACGCGTTCGAGCGTGCTTTTCGGGGTGGCAACGTGGCACCGCGATGGGTCCACCGGGTTTCTCTCCCCCCTTCCCTTCCTCCCGCTATCGTGCTCCTGTGCTCTCGCGCGCGAGCTTCCCTGAACCCGTTGCCGTTCCTCTCCATCTTGCACCCCCTTAAGCTGCGTCCCCAACGAGCGACCGAAGAGCTTGTAATTTACTGTTGTCTGGGATAATACCGAGAAAGTATGCGATTCATTATCCGTCTGTTTTGAATCTATGAGAACTGAACGTTACATAATTACGTGGCAAACATTCTCTTATGTGTAAGCAAGGGAAGTGTAAATAAATTGAGTGATACGAAAGAGCTGAAAAAGCTATTCGATAATACGATAATTCAAAAGACACTAAAGATGATACCGCGGAATGATGGATTTGTGGATTTTCGAATATTTGCGAAATATCGAAAATTTCGCGGTTTTTTAAGATCTGAAAATATTCACGTTCGAATAATCTTGAAGTAATACACGTCGAAAATTCCCCGAACGAAGTTATTGGGGACGGAGCCTTAGCTGTCTACCCTTATGCCTTCGCGATCGCCTATAATCAGTCGAATATGGTGCTTCACCTGCTGCAAAAAGCTCGCAGGATGAACGTTCCACCGGTTCCCGCCGATTTGACGACTCGCCTCGTCGGTCGAGCAACCAATTTAATTTGCAGGATCAACGTCGGGAACGCCGCGTGGATAATCTCGCGCATCCGAATTACATGCTCCGCATGTCACACGTCGAATGCACACGCACACATGAGAAACCTTACGCATCCTCTAAGAGGATTACTAATTAGCTATACCTTAATTGCTAATTAAGCGAAATTACTCAAGTTTTATTCGCATTTACGGTATGAGTACCGAAAAACGCATTTTGGGGTCTTTAAGACGCTAATTTAACGATCCCTTTAACATATAAATAAATATTATATTATAAATAGATATAAAGGAATATTCCGTAATTTCACATTAATTACCGAATATTCCGTCGATCACGGGGGGGTTCATGACGACCTCGATGCTCGTCGACCTCCCGGATCGACGAACAGAAATTTTTCCTCGCATTGAACCGCATCGCTGCGAATCTCTCTCATGTCGCTCTCCACCGTCCCTCGAATTCAGATCCGGAATGAATCTTAAGGGCAATCATTAACGCGCAGACAACGGATTGTCATGGACCGGCGATTGAAAACCCCGTGAATCGCGGCGAACGGGTGGAAGTGCATGAAGAGCGAAGAAGGGGATGATAGCGGGTGGGCTATACTTAAATTACCTAGGAAGCATCGTCGGCATTCATACGTGGGATAAGCATTGTCATCCCGGGGGATTGTCTCGCAGACACCTCACGGGGCGCACGCTTTATACTACAGGGGTGCCACAGAGGTGGAAGAAGCCGAAGGGGAGGGGAGAGAGAAACCTTTATTAGGTAGATAAGCGAGATGCGAGTGCGTTATATAGATGCCCATCCTCGTTTTACTCACTTCAATGCCTAATGGAATTGAGTTCTTGCAAGGGAAAGCCGCCCCTCCCCCTCCGCCACCCCCTTCCGCCACATCGGTCGGGCAGGGAAAGGAGAGAGTGCGGGAGAGGACGACGGCGAGGATATGAGATAATTGGTATTTTGTCTCGCCGAATCCTTTGTGCCCGGAGTTTTAATTGACTTCGAGATTTTTCAATACCAATTTGCACCCGACTGCATGCGGGTAAGAATGTATGTGCACGCGCATGTGTGTGTGTGTGTGTGTGTGTGTGTGTGTGCGCGCATGAGGTATTCGCGGAGAGGCCGACGGAATGGCGACCACGTCGTCGGATTTTTTCCGCGACGGAAGAGACGTGCTCCTCGTTTTTCCTTCCGCCACCTTTGTCGACGCCGCGACGAGGGTGGGTTTTGTTTTTCAGGGTGGCGCACCCCGGCGTGATAATAAATTATTAGCCGACGGGCTCGCCTTTCTGGACTATTTTTATCCGATCGCGCCAAGATCAATGAGGAAGTGACGCTGTCGAGAGATATCTCGCGATTGCGAACCTCTTTGTAAAAAATGCCCGACTTAAAAATTAAGTTTCGCGCTTCGATTGCATTCGATTCGCGATTAATTAGAAACTGCCGGCGCTTCTGCAGAATTGGGCGTGAAAGCTCGCAGTTGTAATTCGCAAGTTCCTCGGTAAGTTTACGCGACCGTCGATCGGACGACTCTCCAAATTAATACGATTTAATAATATTAGCGGGCAACAAGAGTTCGTCCTGCAACGCGCGATGCGAGCGGCAAAATTTTAAATAAGACGACACTCAGCTCTGGGTCATCATGAATCCCAATTATTAGTGTTCAATGGTGACTACGAAGGAACAAACGTGATGCGAGCGAACAATAGGAAGAAAAGAGGAAGGAAGTGTTTGATGGTGGCGGCGAGGAGACGTCGAAAAGCAGTCGTAATACGAAAGCACAAAACAACTAATACTGTTCGCTGAAAGCGAACGGCGTCTATTCGTTCGCGTCGCTGAATATCCTCCGGGAGTCGGGAAGGTGGGAGGATCGACCAGGACGACGGAGGGGTGATTCGGGATTGGGAAAAGGGGGCAGCGCTCTCTCCTTTTGCCGCTTTTCATTCTAATCCAAGTGCCCTGTCGTCGAGAGGATTTTTTGCATTGTATCCGCAGATTTCCCATAGGAGGGCAACCGTCAGATTTTGCCGGGCATTGTTTCACAGAAGCGACCGCTCCCCCTCCCTCCCCCCCCGCTCCGCCTCCTCTCTCACCCTCTACACGCGTATGTATGTGTGTATACACAAATAGGTCGAAACTCGCTTTACAGTAGACTCCTGATTGATTACTCGTCAAAGAAAAAAGAAAGACTGCGAGAAGTTCCAACGGTGCGGAGAAGAAAATAACGCGGCTGTGGATCATATTGGGGGACGAGAGGGTAAGATAGGGACCCTCGTCAAAGCAGAAAGCAATAGTTACCCTACTCGACGTCAGATAGCAGCAGCTAACTTGAAATATTGCGGCGATAAACTCGACAACTTTGGATACTAAACCCGTGGTGTCTTAGTATGATACTTTCGGCACGTGGTTTTTATTCTTTCGTTTTACCTCCTGAGATCTCAGAAAAAATTACCAGACACTGGAACCGGAAAAAAATTGACATCTCCAACCCGAAACCGCCGAACCGTTAATCCAGGATCTATCATCCAGGAATATGAACCACCACTACTCTGATTATAAACTGACGAACCGTTATTAATTGCCACTCTTTGAATTTAAATTCTCATTCAAATACAAATTAATATTCAGCCAGTACCGGCTACTAGAATCCATCAAGCAAACGAATACGATCTCGCGGTTAATCTTTCATCTTCTATTTAAAATTAGATTAGAAATGAAAAAGTGATGTTTACTATCAATATTGAGAACCAATACACTCAATATATCCGGGCTCCGTGAAACTACTTTGTGCGTGTTCTTCTTAAGTAGCAACCATGATACACCGTCGCAACTTACTCTGAAACTGTCGGACGAGCGATCGATCCTGCCGACACTCAGCTCAGGTCATCATGAAACCCAATCATGGAAAAGCATCCCTTCCCTTTTCCCGTCCCTCTCCCCATACAATTCCAAACAATCACTATTCTTGAGTAGAAGCGAAGGTGGTGGCCGGACGGGATTGGTCCAGAAAAACTTGAGAGCCATAACCGAAAACTGACCAGGATCTCTGAAAGCGGACGAGGGGAGGGAAGGATGTTCTTCACAGTGAATAGGTGTGCGAGCGTAACCAATTATCGCGCGATACCGTGTCGCGGTGGCGCGCGTGCGACGACGGTGCGCGAACGGAGCCAGTCAATAACGACCGGTCTATACGCTATTTGTACTTCATCGTATCGAGGTAATCGATAATAATAATTGCAGTCCGCGGTATCGCCGAGGCGGCCAGCTCCGCTCGTGGCGAGTCGCAAAGTGGGGTGGCGAAGAGCGACGATGTAGGATGAAGCGCAACGAAGTGGCGCAAAGCGCGATGAAGTTACACGAACGCCGGAGAGGCGAGCACCAATCGAGCACGAGGGGCCGTCCGGTGGGTTGTGACGTAGAAATACCCGACTACGAAGCTACACGCCCCCGAAGGTGAGCCGAATGAGGAATTTGCAATGGATGCGAAAGAGAAAGAGAAAGAGAAGATGAAAAGAGAGGACGCTTCGGGCAAGTCCGCCGCGGTGAGCCCGTATCGAGCTCAGTCAAGACCGGCTCTTCGTTCAAGCACAGTCGATTCAAAGCGCGTCGATGCGCGCACCAGCATCCGAAAAGTCGTTACACGTGTGACTGGGGACTGTTTTCGTCGGTTGTTCACGGGCATCCTCTCGCCGGAACTAGTTCAGGGTGAAGAAAATATCGAGAGGCATCCTTTCGTTCAGCAAACAAGACTCAACGGGAGGACGGATAATGGAAACTCACCGATTCTGGACGATGCCGAGCATGGAGCTCCCTTCGTTACACGACGTGACGCAAGACGCAGCGAGCGACGGACGGCAAACGCCCGGATCGGACGAGCAACACATCAAGAGGCCTATGAACGCTTTCATGGTGTGGTCGCGCGAGGAACGGAAGAAGATTTCCAAAGAGAACCCAAAGCTGCACAACTCGGAGATTTCGAAGAGGCTCGGCTGCGAATGGAAGAAACTTCCCCAGGAAGACAAGCAGCCGTTCATCGACGAAGCGAAGAGGCTACGCACCTTACACCAGCAGGAACATCCGGACTACAAATACCGGCCCCGAAGAAAAATGAGGACCTCGTACCGGACTAGCAAACACCAACCCGTCAATTCCTTCCCCCCGCCCGCCTTCCCTCCTCTGCCGACGTATTTCGCCACGCCGGCGCATCCGGTCAATCATCACCACACACACTCGTTCGATTATTCACCCCTACAACCGTATTTCGGTACTCCCACTTTCGACCTCCACCTCAACAAGCTGGTAACGGGGAACAATACTGTCGCAGCATCGCCCGCCACGGCCTACGCAGTGGCGGCCGCCGCAGCCGCCGATGCCGTCAACAATAACGCGAGCGTGGTCGCTAATAACTTCTACCCGAGTCTCTATCCACCGGCACCGATCGCAGGTAAGTCCAGATTTCCGAACTCGACAATAGCGTATTCGTGAATCAGACCTTCCCTATCGGTCGTGTTAAACCGTAGGAACTGACGGACCTCATCCCCAACTAATGTTCTCTTCCTCACCGATATCTGGATCCATCAGAAACACCATTAATGCAAGCGCAGGCAGTCTCGGGGGTGGCCAGTCAACCCGATACTCTGGCTCCGATCAACCCGGAACAGCAGATCCATGCTGGGCCTCTTAGGAATGCTACAGATACGCGGTATCCTTTATAAGTACATAGCTGTACATACATCTTCACAGATATATACTATTCAGGTATGCCTGGTTAAGATACACCACGTCAGCCCGTTACACTCCGAAGTCGTAAAATGTTTCGCACATGTTTCAGGGGTCCGATCTGTGATGTGACTTTTGACGTGATATTTATAAGGAGTCGGGTCTGGAAGAGTATTTACCGTATCAGACGTCCGTATAAAGATCGTCAAAATTCTCGGGACAGACGCGAAAGTACAAGGTGTATTGTAGAAGCGAAGAAGGCCTTCACCCGATGTGATCCAGTCTCGAAAGAGATGTTCCAGCATTCGTAACAAGTGCCGCAAATCTGGCAAGATGTAAAGTACGACACAAGATAATGAGATACGACATTATATAACGATGATTTTAAATATATTGCAAAGCAAGTGTTTGCAGTTTGACATGAATCAATTTCGATAGATCCCAAGTCGAAATATCGATTATATGTTAATTTGGAAAATTCTAGTCGAACTTCAAAGACTTTGAAAATAGTCCATACTAATAGTGTTTCAGTTAGCTAGTATTTAAGTTTAAAGATTAATATAATAAAATAACAATCAAACGGATAAATATAATAAAATAACATTCATTGCTCATAATCTCATTATGGTATTTCTTGTTTGAAGATTAAAAGCTCCGATAAAAATCAGAAATTTAAAAAGAATGAAAAGAAAGTTGCAAGAGAGTTAACAGCAGTATATCCGGAATGTTTCATTAGAGATTTAAATTTGTAACAAGGCTAGATAAAAACGAAAGGTGAACATATTCAAGATGGGATATGCAATTTAAGGAATACTGTTAAATGCATAAATTAATACTTTTGCAATTTACAGTTAATTTCAAAATTTTGACTCAGGATCTACAAGATTTTTCTCAAGTATAATATTTTTAACAGATTTATCCTCTGCAAACTCATCATTCTCATCTGAGCGATCTACTATAACATTAACACTTTGCGGTCAGCTGGCGATGTCGTGCGAATCTTGAGCTGTTATATCATAACGGCACTGCAACGTAAAACATTAAACTTTTAAACGTTTAATATTATAAACATTTATTAAGCGAAGTGTTTTAACTTTAATAAGTTCTTTTACATCGACATGTATTTGCAATCAAGATATGGATCATAAGTTAGTTTACTTGATCCAGATAGCGCGACAGCGTCATGCAGAGCACGGATCGCAAAACGTTAAAGCTGTATTCACTCTGTTTGCTATGTGAACTTTTATTTTCCGTTTCCTGTACGTCCGCAATCAAACGGACCAGTTACAGTATTATGTGTAAATAATATAAATAACGTAACTTATTAAATTGCTTTGTAATATTTCAAAACAATTTGTTATTGCTTCGTTTACTGCTATTCTACATAGTGTCCTATTATATGTTCTCCGCGACTCCACTTTTAAACCTCCTAGGCCTTACCGCAATTTCACATTTTTAACCATGCTGCTCATCATTATTTCTCAATACTCTTTGCATCTGTAAAGTTCTGCCGTCACTTTGAAACGTTCCTTTTTCTTCCAAACCGCAACTCATTTTCTTTCAGACTCCTAAACTATTCGTTTCTTCGGTTATTTTTATTTCGTGTTTCTACTTCGGGTACATTTTGCTTAAACTGACAGAATTATGAAATTATTGCTGTTTTCCGTACTAATATAATTTATCGCTAAGTATCTATTGCTAAGTAAATTTTGACTAATAAAAATGATCTTTTCACTATTTCTATAAATTTGTAAGACCTCCAAATGGCATCTAGTGCACCTACAAATAAATAACTATGAATAACATTAAAATTTAATCTGTCTTAATAATTTCTACATATTTTTCTGTAACATTTCCTACTGCACCCCTTAATAACAATGTATTTATAATATTCTTTCAGTTATTCACAATGTTAATTAATAATTAGGTTGCGAGATGTTCGTGAGATTTCACGGTGAGCTTCCCTGCTACTATGATGCGCAATACAATCAAGCGGACCAATCGGCCCGGCAACGTGAACAACAGAGCGGGAGAAAAATTGGTAATTATTTCCTTTACAATTTGTACGTATTATAAAATATAGAAAACACTTGGATATTAATAGATATACGCGTAATAAATATATATGTATATATATCAATAATATATCAATATTTATATCTTTATACTACTTTATTTATATCATTTAATGAAATATACAGTAATATTAATATATTATATAATAGAAGTTAGACGCGCAAATTATATTCCCAATAAATTAAAACACATTTTAACTAATATATTATTCATCTCAACGAAACAAAAGAATTGAACGGTGACAGTTAATAATAGTTTCGCTCACAATATGACAGTCAACTAAGTAGTTGAACAATATTTCCCTATTATCGATAATATTCAGAAGTTTCTAAAGATCCATAATGGCAACGATAAGCGAAATACTACAAATTCGCAATCTCACGAAGCTCAGCGACAATCAAAATATAAACACTGGTGCAACGTAAACACGGATGTTGGGGTCAAAATCGATTGGCACACACATGTGTTCACGTTATTACGGTATTATAGAGAGAGAATCGATATATTGAGTCAAATATTCAATAAATTCAATCTTTAAGCGACAAAATAATTGTTTATCCTTCGGACGTTCCGGTATGTGAAGATATGTTCTTGTTGAGTCGTTCTCGTATTCTTCGAAAACTGTTTCAAAAAAGAACAACGAAAGAAAAATCATCTTCCGAATAGAAGCAGGTTCGCACGTAAAACAACCTCGTGACCAAGCATCTACTGATTTGGTCACCCTCGGTGGTCTTCAGGGTGGCTGTCAGCAAGGCCCTCTCGCTGTCAACGACGCGGATAATTGAATTAGCATATTAATGCGGGAGAACAAAGGAATCGTTTAGGCCTGGATTCGTTTTGCCTTGTCCAATGGGTTTTACTGTAGAGTGCAGTTTCCGATGAATAGTCACGACTCAACTTTCTGAGGTGGCTCGTGTTTCCACATAAGGCCCGCTAATTGTTGCTTCGCGAATTTACTTCGTTATATATGCAACTTCAATTCTGAATTGTCTACAGATTTTTCAAGTGTGACAGCGCATAAATCAGAATTCAAAATGCTCTCTAATTCTACAGTTCGAATTGTTCAAATATACCTCCAGCTTAAAAAACGTAATCTGAATTACGTTTCGAGCTCAACATTCGTATCGTTCGAATTGTTTGGTCTTCGCAATTTTCTTAATCCTCTTGTCCAACTGCGTTATTCCCTGGCTTTGTCAATTTCAATTGCGGTAAATGTTACGATTTACGATTTCTAGTTTCGGATCAAGGACTACATGTGAGAACGAGTTATCTTGAGAAATTGCGAGAGAAGTTACTGAAGAACGAGATTTTACATTCTACCGGCAGCTCACAAGCTACGACAACGGCATCGTTAACTTTAATATATCGTTTGTACAAATGTAAATAATATTTAAAATACATTCGTAAGAGATATTAAACTACGGTGAAAAGGTAAAACAAAATATGCGAATACCAAAAGAATGTTCTGTACAAATTACGTGTATTATGAGGAAGCATAACATTGGAGAATGAAAAAAAACACACTGCCGAAAAAAAAGCGGCTCAACAATGCTGGGTGAAAGTCTTCAAAAAGATACTATAAAGGCTCGACGACGGAAAATAATTGCCTTCCATTCAAAACAGCCACATAGATTCAAACTTCATTTTCAGTTCCGGATTCCTCCAGATATAAAAATTATTTGAATCCCGTTCTTATAACCTGATGTAAAAAGCATAAATAAAAAATATGTAAAATATAATATAATGACCCTATATTATCCTATCATACATTATATTGGTACTTGGTTATGAATTTTCCTCGTTTACGTTCGAGTGTTACACACATGTTGGTCGAAAAATCAACTTGAATTTATGAAATTTATTTTTCTCTCTGAAACTTCTATCTCGATAGGAGTCGTAAAATCTGTAAGATAAGTCGAGGCGTTTGCCGCTCACTGGCGACTATCGGAACTATAGAAGGCGTCATAGTTATAATAGTCACTTATGCGAAAAAAAGAAACTGCCCTACGTTACCCTTTCATCACCCTATTCGGAATCAAAGGGTGGTCACCTCTGAACTCTACCCACTACGACGCCGAGTGGGGAGAAAAAGAAGGCAAGAGGAAGCCAAGGGGGAGAAAGAACGTGTCATTGGACGCGACCATGACGTCTCCAAGCCTTCACTCACTTATACGTCATTCTTTGTCTCTTGGGTGCCTGTTCAACGGGTGTCGGCTTTGTCATTGCCAAGGAAATACCGGGTTACGAATTTCACAGTCGACCCTCACAGCTGCCGCTGTTCCGTTAATGTGAAGCTACAAAGGTCCGAGGACTGTTACAACAACCGTAGTAAAACGGTGAAAAGTTGCCACAATTCGAGAAAATCGCCGTAAGATTTACGATACAATTGGGAACATTCGGAAACACAGTTTCACTATTATTATCTGAGACCAAAATAGCTCTTTCGTTCACTGCTCTTAATATATTAATTGAAAACTAAATTTTCAGACCGCTTTCTTCCTTTCTCCTGTCTCCTCCTACGGATATAATTAATACTGGATCTCTATTTTTTTTCCGTATCTGCGGTACGGATATATCAAACGCGCAAATCAGATTATGTTATTAACAATTGTCACACGATATACGACTGGGATACCCTATATATTATCTTGAACTATTCTGCCATCTTTCTCCGATTTAAGGGCATTTCAAATGGAGCTGGCCGGGTTTCACCGTGTGTAATACTTGAACCGCCGTGGTGATTAGTTAATTAAATTAGTTTCAGCGATTGAGACGACGTCAGTGGTACGAGCGTACGGAACCCCTTTCGGTACGTTTGAAAGCCACCGTCGCGACGTCTGAAGGGAAAACCGGAAGCCTTTGTACGCCCTGAGGCTGGCTGAAAAACAAAGGAGAACTCGGTAACATAGAGCGATCGCGTTGCGTTTTCCGCCTTTGCGAATAATACATCGCGGCCGATCGCTCGGAAAAGCACAGTCAATCAAGGCAATTTACAAAGAGCCGCTGTAATTAATATACAGCGCAATTAAAATATAAACGTGGGACGGGCGAGGTCGTTGAAAAAAAATATTTAACGATACGCGGGTAAACGGCAGGAATAAATGTACGATTCCGGAGTACTCGGTAATTTGAATAACGCGCGAACGTTGGAATTCTGAAAATTAATAATCGAGAATTAATACCGCGACGAAGAGCAACGTTCCAAGAACACGTGAGATCTGAAAATCGTCAAAGGTCCTGAAAAATATCAAGTCACGACTCTCCTGCCACACTACGTCGCGGAGAAATTTTGAGAAAATAGTTGAAATAATCCACGCAATTTCGATCAAATTCTCGACAGTTATTATACTTCGAGGTTTTCCTTTCGTAATATTTCGTAATTTAATTCTCCAACGCGACGTTCCTCCTCGAATTCTCAGAATATTAAGGTACGCGTCTCCGGCGAGGCGAAGTTTGCGCGACACAGAGTCGCGGCGAGTGTCACGTGAGCGAACTTTTCGACTTTTCCGGGCCTGCCAAAACTCCGCAGGAAGATCCCTTTCGAAGGCGCGCTAAATAATTAAGAAATCCACTTAGGTTCCACATTCATCAGCGCGATAAGTCGCGCCGGAATCGACTGTTCACCCCGGTCGGGCAGAAATAAAGTCGTCGGAAACGGACAATAGTCACCGAAGAGATGCCTTTCTTAAAGCTTTCTGAGGCGCCACCGCGAAAAACAAGCCTTTCCCATTTCCGACAAAAGCCCGGCGTCAACTTGTCCTTGCTCGAATATCTCCGCAAGAAGTTTCCGCCTTTCCGATTATAGTGGAGATCCATTCATCGCGACTTGATTCGCCTCAGACGAGAGTTTCCAACCGCGTCGCGATTCACTCAATTTTGCAGGAATTCTCTATTACTTTGCATATTCCATCATTCTACACGTTCGTCTGTCGATAAATGCTTGACTCATTTACAACCAGTCGAATTCCTCAGAAATGACTGGAGAATCCGAAAATATACATGACGATATTGTAAAATCTTCAGAAAAATCGAAGGAAAATCCCCAGGAAATCTCAAGATACATATACAGTTTACAATTCGTGGAATCTAGATTTTTAAACGCAGGCAGAGATAAATTTTACAAAATTGCAGAAAATTCTCGAAGTCTCAATTTTCTTCTTTTTTTTTTTCTTTAATCCCGAAATTCGTGCAACCTTGGAAGAAGGGGAGCGGTAGAGGAAGACGATTTCGCGGTCGTTACATCATCCGAGTCTCGGGATCCACGGTCTAGAAATATTTTCTTAATTTTTCCAACGAGAAAAGTGTCAAACGTATTTGTCCGGCGACTCTTCGGGTTCTTTTCAGCCGCCGAAATCACGTCGCGCGCCATTTGCATCCTGTTGCATCAAGTGGGCCGGATGAATGCACCAGACCTCGTTCCGGTTGACAACGCGACGCGGAATATAACTTTCTGCCGCCCTGTATCCACCGTGTATTCCGTTCTGAAGAGGCGAGAGGGCTGAATCGAGGGGGTGGTCGGCAGCAGAAGGAAGAAAAGAGTATAGTCAACGGAATGGCACTCCGTGGACACTCCGCGACTTCCCTTTTCAGAAAGTATCCCGCCACCTCCTCTTGACCCTTCGCGCGACAGGAAGAAGACCGTGAATGTAAATCCTTTAATGGCCTCGGAAGCTTTTTGCCCTCGCCTCTTTAGAAAAATCCGCTCGCTGAATGCGTACACTGGGCTGCGATTACCGGTGAAACTGATGCATGACGTCGGCACGCTCACGCGCGACGAGAAAGCCCCGGAACTATTTGCTGGATTTGAATCATTAAGAAACGAGCTCGTAGCAACGACGAGCTCTCCGAACGTCGGGAGAGATAAATGCAATGAAAGGAATTATCGGGCGTTCCGAGATAAACAATAAACACCGCCCCGCACTATCGCACTCGAAGATTTCCTATGATTTGTCTGGTGAAACGAACAGTTCCGCGCAGCGTCATAAAAAAAGCAGACGTCCGGCCTGCGGCCTTGTCAAGTAAAGTTAAAAATAGCCGGGGGTGTTTTTTTTACTTTTTCTTTTTGACCAGACTGAGTTGCGTCGTAGCGAATTTCGAAACGTGACACGACTCTTTTGTCGCTCGACTCGATGTTAGCTCTACTCTTCAGGTCATTGTAAGTGATTGATCGTTATAACGACTGTCCCTTAGACTTCAAAACCAATCTTTCTTCGGATTTCCTTCAGGGCTTTCCTAAAAGTTCCTCTTCTATTGTCCTACATTAAGTTGTTTAGGCGTCTCCTTGGGTATACTGACTCTTGAAATCCGCGGGTTTTCCGAAACCGCAAATTTCCCCGTAACTATTCACCACGATGCTCGTGCCTCTTTAGAATACGCCGTATTAAGAATTTCATCCCGCTAATAATACGTTCTAACGCATAATAAAACCTCTTCATACTCGAGGGCATTTTCTTAAATGCGACGCGCTATTCGCTTTTTCAGTTATCCGGCGAACTGTACGGGAGGCTCTTGGGTCGTGCATAAAGCTTTGAAAAATCAAATCCATTCGAAGGGTACGCGCATAAATGTTTCTTTCAGCATTATCGATGTCGTCCTACCTCCCTATTTTACTCTCTATCTATCCCTCTCCCTCTCGCCCTCCTCCTCTTTTTGCCATTCTCTTTTCCTCTACGTTGCCGACACTCGAGAAATCTCGTCGCGAGTCAAGACTGCGTCAGCCCCGGCATAATGTGACCCAAGGTTCTCGAGTGGGCCGTCGACTCGCCCCCTTTCGTCCCTTACTTCGAACGGCATTATGCTCTATATTCTTACGTTTTGCGACGCCGGGGCGTACGCAGGCATTGACCTTTGCCCTCGCGCAAAAATACGAGAGTCCCCTTTCTCGCGCGAAGGGGGTTGGCGCAGGCATCCCTGCCGCTGGCAAAACAGCGCGTATGGGCTTTCTGTTACTCTTTTTATTTTATTTCTTTTTTTAACGCAACGACAGAACGCACGATCGAGAGGCGTCGAGAGCGATTCGATCCCGCGGATTTCCGATGCGTCGAGCTCGTCTCATCTTCGAACTCGCGCGTTTTCAGAGCGTAGCTCTCCTCCGCTACGCAATTCTCATATTCCTCGAATTTTCGAATCTCAACGTGATAAAACGTTCTCTTAACTAACGTAGCGAAAGAAAACACTCGGACGCTCGACGGATCGGAAACGCTGCTCAGAATCTTGGTATTTTCTCGAAACCTCGCGAGAATGCCCGCGACGAATCGCGCGCCAACATCGAGCAAATTGATCGAATCGACGCGTTGATTCAGTGCGGAACACTGCCGTAGGTATTCTCGCTCGTCAAATGCCGAAAGCACGTGTGTCGCCGCGTTGGCAACAGCGTCGCTAGAATATATATATATATATATTCGGGGATATAGTGTGAGAGACGGAATTATATGGGAGGAGGGGGGAAACGAGAGAAAAGAGCAATTGCAGAGGGTCGGGGATGCGACAAACGTATGTTTTGTCTCCGACGGTGGGGCGATGATTGATGGCGCGGTTAATGGCATTTTATTAGAGAAACACTTCGGAGGGTCAATAGACAACGCGAGAGGATGAATAATAACTCCGTCGGCGCGGCGGCGCTTATTAGAAATACTCGCCGATATTATCTCGCGATCCGCGCGTTGGCCCCGCTTTCTCCGTGCC